CCGGTGTCTGAATTGCCAGCCCCCCCCCCCCGCCCCCGAAACTGCCATTAGCACAACTTCTGATTGGTTGATTTTTTTACACATTGTTTAATAATTCCTTACTCACAAAATTGATGGGTGTGATAGTAATCTAGTCTTGCATAATGCACAACAAGGGAGTTAACCCAGACGATAATTACGGGTTTGTGTTTCCCTTTCTCAGACCATTTGTTAGGCCATTCATGTGCAGCTGTTTTACCGAATGGTATGCGCTTGCCGGCAAACGTGTACAAAGTGGATGTCGCGCTTGACTGAATAAAGGGCGTATGTTCAAAACAGATGTTAAGGTGCCGAGTCTAGCAAGAGATCTTTTGCTGTGTATAGAGAAGCCAGGTATGCCCAGCAGAGTGTGCGAGGTTTATGCAGGACTCGAGGAATTACGATACAGCTGTTTAATGAGGGACCGCTCACATTTGGGAACACTCCTGTCGTTCTCTTGATGGAAACTGCATTCTTAACAGTAGTACCATCAGATTTTCAAATGGACGGTTCTCGCTACTCCATCGTATCTGTTTGCTCGTTAAAACCACCATAAACGAAAGTTTCAGTTGGGTTCCAGGCGAGTCTCTCGCAAATGAGTGTAGTTCGTTAATGCTCGTTAGGTTATTTTCTGGTGACAGGTCGCATCAATCTGTAGGTCAGATTCAAGGATTAGACAATCACTAGCCAATGGCGTTCCAATCAATAATACGTGAGAGAGTCGTCAAATAGAGCAAAAAATGAACACAACTAAATATACTGTTCACTAAGATCCATATTATAAGTAAATAAAAAACATGGTCTCCACGACTGAATAGTCTTCATTGTGTTGTGACAGGTATAAAAACATGTCCACAGATTGGCGTTTGATTAAGAGGATAAAAAATGTGACGAACGGAGACCCCTTAACTACGTTAGTGTAACCGTTGAGTAGATAAAGATGAGAGTCAAAGTAGACACCCGAGTTCTATCTAACCGCCTACGTACGGTGGCGAAGCATCGGTGTTGAACACTGATGTCTTGATGTCGAGGATGATGATGGTGGTGATGATGATGATGGTGATGATGGTGATGACGATGATGATGATGATGATGATGATGATGATGATGATGATGATGATGATGATGATAGCCGCCTTTGGAAAACGCGGACCACCTTTGAAGATCACCTGGCCACCAATATGTTTCGCAATCAATGCTCATAAGCTCTATCCCTATCTCTCGCTTGCTGTGTCGAGACGGTTGGGAAATTTCTCTTTGTTTTCACATTGTTTTCTCGCTCATCTTTGTTTCATGCTGTTCATGAAAGGGGCTTGCCAGTGGTACACTTAGCCTTAGACCGTTACGCTTGAACTCATCGTTAAAGGTAGTGTGGAAGCGTACCATGAGTGTCTGTCGTCACGGTAACCCTGTATGAGCAGGCCACACACAGCACATGCGCACTTACTTTGACGGTGCAGTGGAGACGAAAGGTCTCTAATCATAATTATCGGCTTAGTGGATGTACCGGTAAATACCCGGACCAACAGTGCGTGCTTCTGACAGGAGCAAGGTAACGAACTTGAAGTATTCACAATCAAAGAGATCTGTTGTAGTCGCGTGCTCCAGTATCTTGTTGAAGATAACTTCTACATATGGCAACCGAATAGTGATTAGACATAATCTCAGCTGATGTCTTACTTAACACTGAGGTAGCATTCAGTTGTCTCAGTTACCAAGTGACGGAATTGCGTACCTCAAGGACGTTAATTCCTCTAACGGCTGTGAGAATTTCGTACAAGTCGAAAGTCTAGTAACGTCACTCAACTTGGTGACTGCTTATCAGGAAGCGCGGTGGCTGAAATACAGACTCCACGCCTGGGCATATACGAAGGCAATCGATAGAACATGGATGGACACGAATCAGGGGCCTGGCGATCAACTGCTTGAATTTTATCCGCCTGTCTTTCTGGGTTCTATTCGACTGAGGTACGCTAAAGGTATCACCTAAGTCCCTGATTGGTAGTATTTAACCTAGATTCAGCTAGGTTTGATACCTCAACTGGATTTTTCACCTACACAAATAATTTTCTCCACCTTCATCCGGTGGAGTAACAGGCCTAGGTGGTATTTGTTACACCTCTACAGCGATTGTGAAAGACCCCTGTCTGTGATATAACGTCAACATGCTCCTCACCACTCGGAGACGTTACAGTTCAGCTCCGATTCTTTACTTGTGTGTCAGTCAAAATTGCAAGTAAACCTTCTGTTTGAGCTGATTCGTTCGCACACTGGTCGACCTTAAGACTAGACTT